CGGCGTTCATAATACCACAGAACAATAGTAATACGGGCATGAGACTTCCCGTATGGGCCATACTATGAAATTATAAATAATTCTCACCTCCCATGCATATTATGTAGTTAATATATGTCTATATCAGTGATGAGAATTATTCAATTATTTGAATATCAGCATTCGATGCTACGATATAGTACGTAACGAAAATTATTCGTTTAAATTTTCGCGCTACAACAAAACGTTTAATAATAATAGGTATTGTAGTATTGAATACTGATATTCAAATAATTCGATTGTTCGAATATACATTTTATCTCTAGTCTATATACATAATAAATTGTCATTGTTCATAATTAGTAATAAATGATATGGAAAACTATTTTAGAACCAATTTTTGCAAGTTAATATACAAATGAAATTTCTTATTTAGTTATTTATTTTATATTGAATGATAAAATTGTAGATTAGTTATTACTAATCATTAGCTACAGATTTTGTGAATTATCTAGATGAAAATTAGATGTCAATTTTATTTTTTATCTAGATAAGATAACGATATGAAGTTTTTATCTAGATTACATATCTAGCTAAATTTATCTAAAGCACAACAATGAGAACACGTCTATATAATATAATCATGGGTGTCTCCAGAGTTATTTTTACTTAGGTTATAATCTTCAGACGGTCAACTACTTTTACCAAGACCTATTTAGTTAATTAGACCTATTAGTTAATACCGTGATCAATATAATGTTCTTATCTAAAAATAAAAATATAAAATTCTTCGGAACTCTTAAGATTTTATTTTTGATATTTTTCTAAATTTCATTAATTTGTTATCAAACAAACGATAACGATATTCGCGGTATTTGACAAAAATATTTTTCTTGTCTTGAAAATCAAAATTAACTTAATTGGGATAAATGAAAAAATAATGCGTTAATTTTAAGTTAATCTGTAAGAAAATAAGTTAAGTTAATAAGTTAAATTATTAATTCGTGAATGCCCAGGTTTGCAAAATTCCAACTAACTATACATATTTTCTCAGTTATAAAATATATATAGTTATTTTGTATCTTATTAATTTATTAAGAATATAAGATTTATTTATTTTTGGTATTCAAAATTTTTTTTTATATATTTCATATTTTTAATGCATATTTTACAATGTTGTCTTTTTTTAGCTCCTACAACTTTCTAGTCCTATTTATTATTATGGGAATAGGAAAAATAACGCAAATAGAATAGAAACAAAAATTGTATTATTTTCTAATGGTAAATTGCAAAAAATGTATGATGCTTGTATAAATAATACTGTATTTTCTTTAAAAGACCAAATACGGTATTATTCTTGTTTTCCGTTGTGGTAGCCATTAATAAATGAGAAAATTAGATTAAAAGTACCTAATAATCTTTTTGTCTAGGATCAATGGTGCCCAATCCTATTGCTAGGTGTATGATATAAGTTGTAAAGTAGTTGTTGTCTTATTAATTCATGATCTTAATAATATTGAATGTCTCTATTTATTAGGTAAGATCGGTAGTTGTACGCCTAATTACCCGATTAGAAATTCAAACCTATTTTCTATAATTTTTTTTTAAATTTATTTTTATGTCACGTGAAGGTTAAGAACAAAAGAATTATTTATATAATCTAAAAGTTACAGTCTAACTAAACTCCTTTATAATATGTGTCAATATAATGTTTCATTTTTTATTATATATCTATGCATATTAAACTAAAATAGTTATTTTATCTATAATTTTGTTTTTTGTTATTTTACATTTTATTATGTTTCTGTATTAAAAGCGTTCTTTCCGTAAAATGTTAATAAAGAAATAAATAAATAATTTTATGGAAGGACTCATTTATAATAGAACGAAAAAAATAATTAAAAATTAAGAATACAAATAAATTATTCTCAATATATCCTAAAGCACCGTTAAACACGTTTCCCTAGTATTTGTTTTGGAATGTTATAAGTTTTAAAAATATTCAAAAGATAAAACGCTGTTCTTCTCCTAGCGCTAAAACATAAGCATTTTATCTCCCGATTGTCAGTCTGGTATCGATTCTTCAAATTTAGTATACATGGAATTTAAATCCCTCATTTTTTCTCATTGACATTTTCATTCTGGGTAGAAAGTTTACATCCCATTGAATTGCTATTCGAGGACAAATCTCTGGTCAGGTCTCAATCCACCAAATGGAAATAAATAATAGTATAGTATTATACTTTATTGCTTTCAGCTTATTATTTCATTGATCTATTACTTATTAATTTTTACCGAACGTTACTAACCACTCATCGATTGTCTTCAATAGATAGAGTGATTGTTGTTTGTTTGACAAACGTTGGTCATTTAACTATCAGTTAAAATTATATATTTACAATAACACTTGTATAATATCGCGTTTGCAGAATATTCTAAACCTGTAGTCACGCATAAAATATATGACTGCTGCTCTGTATATATATATACTCGTATATATTTATAAATGTGAAAATGGAATTTTTTTTAGGCATATTCTCTGAAACTACTCATCTGATTACATCTAATTAATTTTTTTAAATGAAAGAGTAAATCGCAGGCAGGTTTAAGCTTAATTTTAATTCTAAAACTAATTGATTAATTATTAATTTACAATTGTTTATTTTTCAATATTTCTTGGCGTAGGGCAACAAAAAAAAAAAACATATTCACCTTAGTTATATATTAAGACTGAGTAGCTAACTAAAAAACTAAATAGCTAAAAAAAATTTAACCATGTTAGTAAAATAAACTTGCTGCTAGTATATATATATAATACAAGTGACCGTCTCTATAAATATACCTGTCATATATTATCATCGTGATTCGGTGATTGTCATTCGTCATTCGTTACCCGTTATCTATTGCTTCATTGTGCATTCAATATTTTAAATTATTTGATATTTTGTATTAACTTGCGATATCGGTATGGACGTATTAATGAAAGATTTTCAAATATAAATCGGATTTGTTGAGTTGATTGCTACATTTGTCGGTAAGTTTTTATTATTAGTTAAAAGTTATTATTTATTAGTTATTATATAGTTATTATAATATTGTGCCTAGTGTTTTTTAAGTAAACAAAATATAACTGTTTTAATATAAATAGTGATAAAGAAATATTATACTGATATTTCATACATTGTTTTGTATTATAATAAAATGACAAGAAATTATTAGTAAAATATTTTACAGTATACTATTATAAAATAAATTGTTATTTATTTCTATTCGAGGTTCAAATTGCATGGGGAGGATCAATTGCCTGATTGATGGTGGACGGAGGAAAAACGAAAAAAAGTATAAATTATATGACGTAAAGAGGAGTCGCCAAAAAAGATGTCTCTTTTGACTATAAATTCGACTCTATACGTTCTGTAAAGGAGAGCGATTCCAATTCGGTTGGAAGAATGGAAGACCCACATCTTTCTGGTTCGTTTTCCTTTGTTATCACAGTTGGTTTTTTAAAAAATGTTTAAAATTCACTTCTTAACTGTTCTATTTTATAATTCAATTTTAAATTCTGAAACTACTCCGTCATGATCTCTCCATTCTAAGAGTTAAATTCATTAAAATTTTCTATAAACTTTACCATTTGAATATATCAAACACCAAAATTCCCTCATATCAAACTTATATGTTCTCAACATCCCAGTTGATTCCAGAAGGCGTTTTAAAATGTAATTAAAAATTGTATCCATAAATGTATAAATTAAAAGACAGAAAAATGGAACAAATACCTAACTAATTACTTTTATTATAGTTTTATACTTAGAACGTTGACGTTAAGGCGAGTAGAGAAGTAGAATGATATTTGGGTATTGGACGCATACCATAAAATTGTTTTATAAATGCAATACTCTTGTTTAAATTGTAATAACTTAATAAACCTATGGTTACTGATTTGAATGTATAATCCCATACAACATGTAGGCAGAAAATAAATTCACGTATAAGATAAATTCACAATGGTCTATATATTATGTCTTTTGTTTTGGTTACAAAAGATTTAATGCAAGCGAACCGGAAAATAAAACCCGAAACAACAAGACGTAAATATTCATAACATATAATAAAAATGTTTAACTTGCACTATAATGAAATATATATGTATATATATATATATACTCCACGTTCTTTCAACGATATTACAATGTATTGTCATATTGTGCTGTTTGCGCGATTCAATGGCCGAAACAGTAGTTTAGTCATTATATGGCTAAGAATTTGCAAAATAACTAACAAGAATATAAACTTTTATGAAAGCAAATAATAATTATATATTGTTATGCATCATATGTATGCTAAGGAAAAGTATATTTTTTTGTCTCATCGAAAAATTAACATATTCCATGTACAATTACAGTATAACAATGATACGAGGAAAAAAAAAGATAATCCAATAAAATTATAATAAATTACAATGTTGCAGAATATTATTTGAAACTTTCAATTTTTTATGATATTTTCGCATGATCGAAAGTTATATACAGTAGATTCTTAATATGTCGAACGTCGCTATCTCGAATTTTTCGTTATCCCGAACTACTTTGAATTCCCCTTGAAACTACTATTACACTTAATAGTGTTTTGCTCTAGATAACTCGATATAAAATTAATCGTTTTTCGTTATCTCGAGTTCACAAATAATATTTTTATTGCGGTTAAAACAGGAATTGAGCAGTACATTAGTGCAGTACATTGCATACATTGTGCAGTATAGCGATTGTGATTTAGCGCGTTGGTAGTCACGTTTGTAGTCTTTCGTAGTTCGTTTGTTCGTTTGTAGTGAAATGGAAAAAAAGCCTAAATTAAATGTTCTTTCAATTTCGGACAAAGTTCGTTTAATACAGTTAGTTGAAAAAGGTGATCGTAAAAAATGTGAAATCGCCAATGAATTCAATATTCCACCAAATACATTATCGTCAATTATTAAACAGAAAGAGAAAATAATGAAGTTCAATTGTGGAAATATGAAAAAAATGAGGATGACTCCTTATTTGGACATTGATAAATGTTTGCTAAAATGGTTTACTCAGTGTCGAGATAAAAACATACCATTAAATGGAAAAATTTTACTTGAAAAAGCAAACAAATATGCACAACAACTAGGACACACTAATTTTAAAGCTAGTAGTGGATGGCTTACAAATTGGAAAAAAAGACATGATGTAGTTTTTCGAACTGTTTGTGGAGAAAAAGCTTCAGTAGACACACATTGTTGTTCAAATTGGATTAAAAATCTTCCTGATGTCTTAGCAGGTTATTCTTCTAATAATATTTTTAATGTCGATGAAACGGGCTTATTTTTCAAATGCTTACCAGATAAAACATTAATGTTAAAAGGTAAAGAATGTTCGGGTGGAAAATACGGTAAAGAGCGCATTACAATTATGATAGGAGCAAATATGTCTGGAACTGAAAAACTAAAATTATTTGTCATAGGTAAAGCAAAGAAGCCTAGGTGTTTTAAAGGAATTAAATCTTTACCAGTTGACTATAGGTCAAATAAAAAGGCTTGGATGACTTCGTCATTATTTAGTGAGTGGCTTTTAAATTTTGATAGAAAAATGAAACTAGAAAATCGAAAAGTTCTACTATTCATAGATAATTGTACAGCTCATAATCACGATATTGAATTAAGTTCCATTAAAGTAAATTTTTTACCACCTAGTACAACATCTATACTTCAGCCCATGGACCAAGGCGTTATACAGAATTTCAATATGTTTTATATAAAAGAAATAATCAGACGGTTAGTCGATAATATCGATAACAACGAATCATTTTCTATAAACATACTAGAAGCTATAAGAATGTCTGATAAGGCTTGGAGAAGTGTAACACCACAGACTATATTAAATTGCTTCATAAAAGCCGGTTTTAAAGACGGTGATATAATTGCATTAGATAATTCAACTACTATTTCTGATGATAAATGGAATTTTGTTGCTGATCATCTTAATTTAGACGACAGAAGTTTTTCACATTATGTGGAAATGGACAATAATGTACACGTATGTGGAACATGGACAGATAACGAAATTTTATCAGAAACCATCGAAAATACCAGCGAGAGTGAAGACGAACCACAAAATGAGGAAGAAATCATTTTTACCCAAGTTACAATTCAACAAGCTAAACATGCTTTAAAAACACTAAGGGATTTTGTTGAGACTACTACAGGTATGGATGATAATGCTTTTTCTGCATTATCTAATTTGGAAGACGTCGTGGCAGAAAGAAGTAATATTAAGCAAACTTTAATGACAGATTTTTTTAAAAAATAATAATTTATTCAGTCATTTCAGTACATATATACATTATACATTTATACAACATATATTTATATTATTCTTTTTTTATTTTTTAATAAAACTCGATATCTCGAAGTTTTCGATATCTCGAACTTTTTTCTGTTCCCCTTGAGATTCGACATAACGAGAATCTACTGTATATACATATTATATTTTGGATCGATTTAGGCAGCCACGTGAGTCCGAATTGATAGTAGTTCACACATCCGAGTCAGCAAAAATGATTAAACTTTTTTATTTTAATATTTAAAAGCGATAATGTCAAAGTCATTAGTTAACGTATTTTCCCGATTTACTTACAATTTAAAGGTTAAAAAGTTAAAAAGAACCTAAGAGATAAACTGAAAAATAAAAAACCTGTACTACATGTAACGGAAAAATTTGTTTCCTTTCGATACTTAGAAATACGACGAGTTTAAGCTTTTAGGTACGTGTCGTACCTATAATTTTGCTCGTGTTGTATGGTTTAGTATTGATGTGATCGCGTTAAACCGCAGTCGTGAATAAAATTGAAACTCAATATTTATATATTCGCACGCTATTCACAGGTGGGTTCGACAAAATTGAGCACATAAAACAACACAACGACTGACAAGTGTTGTTATTTTGTGCCGACATCGTAACGCTATTGTCGTTAATGGACAGTGTGATGAATTCGAATTATTACCAACAGCAATGGTATGTTTTGAAATTTTTTGTGGTAGGGAGGGTGAGTAAAGTTTTTCTGAAAAATTAATGATTTTTATAGTACTATAAAAATATATATGTGGTATGAATTAATAGTTATATTGTTGTATTATTATTATAATACAAATTAACAGTTATTTACATATTAAATTATATGCATTAATGTTATCTTTATTTGTACCTTCGTAGCAAATCATTTATAACTTGTGAACCTATTTTTTCTACTGGGGATCGAAATCCGGGAACCTCTCAAGAAAAAATAAATAAATACGCTGTAGGAATAGTTAATACATTTTGTAAAGATACGAATACGATCTGCTCGTACATCGTACTTCATCTTTACGCGCTACGTTGTTCATATCCAGGGGTGAATTGGGGAGAGATTTCGATCCGAGAAAATACAAAGTACCGGCCCACATAATAATTTACCAAACATATAATTTTAGTTAACATTTATTATTATTATTACAAATAATTTGTATATATTTGATAAGAGAATAACTATTAAAACTTTATTAGTATACATCAATATCTTTTTTTTGTTTTTAACAACTTTCTATAGTTTATTAGTTGATTTAAGCTATATAATACAATACAAATAATTAATTTAAATTATGATTCTTACAATTTTTGTATTTAATATGAAAGTTTATTCAATAATAACTCGCTCTTAGACTTTAGTATTTTAATGATTTCATCATTGTCTACTTTATTTAACACTTCTTTTTCTATTGACATGGGCATAAAAGCTTCTAGTTTATTTTCATTTGATGTACTTCGAAGTCTAGTTTTTATCAACTTCAAAGAAGAAAAGCTTCTTTCACAAGCTACCTGAAAAATAAATTAATACATGTCATTTATTAGTATCTAATGTTATATGCAAATGCATATTAAAAATATTAGATACCTGTGAGTATGACAAATAAGAAAAATTTTTTACAATGAAACTTTTCAATACTTTTTTCATTATCGATATCATTACACAAAATATCATCATCTTCTACATCGACATTTTTGTAAGCTTCATACGTTTCTGGAATAGATTTTTTAAGCCATTCCAATTTTTTGAAAAACTGAGTAGTTCACTTCTTAAATAATCAGTTGTGATTGTTTCGTCAAAAGGTTTAATTTTTTCAGTAAGCTCATATAATGCATTGGTTGGAAGTTGGTTCTTTTGTAAATCTTCAAAATTACTTGGAGATAAACACGCAAAATCTGTGTATAGCTTTTTATTTCCCAACATTTTTTTTCTATACTTGCAATAGTGTTATCTATAATAACATTATGTACTTCAATTATATATTTTGTTTCACTGTTAATGGTTTAGTTATCATTTAGTTTTTCTCCATCTAATGTTTTATGTTTTCTGGATCTTATAAAAGGTAATTCATTTTCAATCTCTACATCATCAATTTTTGACTGTTCTAATTTATTCGACATATTATCTATAAACTTTTTGAAAATTTCTTTAACTCCATCAAAATCCCTCTGGATTTGTTTTAAATCTATAATTGCTCCACTAACCATTTCTTGACACTTAAACAAGTCCATGCCTTATTTTTTTAAGATACTTGGATAGTGGGCTAATTATACGAAAGATTCGTATATAGGAATTGCAGTTAAAATTGTTAAATAAGTTAAAACGATTTTTTTAAATTATGAGCTTTTAATTTTGCCTCAGGTGAAAATTCATCTAAATTTTCAATGGTATTTAGTGCCAAAATAAACTCTAAATATTAACCTTCATTTACAAAAATATGTGTTAAAACTTTTTCCTTGAACCACCAACGTGTATTACCGATTGTTTGCAGTCGTCTCTTATCTTTTATATCAAACTTGTCGACGCGTATATTCATTCACTTGTAAGATTTCTTAAAAAATATAACTACATCATTCAACGTTACAAATAAAGTTGCTGCCTTGAGTGGGGATTTTGTAGATTCTATGACGACTAAATGTAATATGTGTACATAGCACCAAATGTAGACTTGATTAAGAGACAACTTTTCAAGCCATGCCGAAAAACCATTAAATTGACCTTGCATATTGGTGGCACCATCCGTAGCATTACCAATACATTTTTTAATATCCAAATCATTTTCTGAACAAATATTTGTTAATATATCAGCAAAACTTTTACCAGTTGATTTTTGTACGATAACAAGTGATAATAACTTTTCTTGAATACCTTTTGAACTGACATACCTTACTACTACAGAACATTGATCTTGTACTGATATGTCCTGAGTTGTATCTAGTTGTATCGAAAACATTCCTGCTTCTCTGACATTGTTTGCTATTGATTTTTTCATTAAAATACTTATAGAATCAACAATCATGTTAATAGTAGTTTTGGAAATAAATGTTAATGATGATCCTTTACTTTTTCCTTTTCTACGCTCGTAGTTTTTTATTGCATTCTCAGTTATTTCCTCGATATGATCACTTAAAACGACATCATATTTTTTCAAAATTAATAGAATATTCAAAAAATTTAGGTAGGATCTTTTAAACTTTTTGAACTTTCATTTGAATGAGCTCTGTAGCTCAGCCTTCTTTTTCCGATTAGTTTTATTACATCAATTACACGTTCAATAATATTGATATTTTTTGTTACTTCACCCTTTTTTTTGTGGAATTAGTCAGTAAATAATCTATAATCAATAGTTTTTTTGTTTGAACAACTTAAAAAAGATTCATGAAAAAAGTATATGGCATTTACTAATTCAATGTTCATGAATTCTTTAGTAAACATGACTCCAGACATTTAAACCTTCAACAAAAACATTTTTTTCTGATGAAAATCCTAAACATACACTGCAGTATAACAATTTCGAAGTAATATCATAGGATAGCCAACGACGTTGAATGTTATTTTTCCCAAAAAATTCCTTAGTAGATTTAAACAGATAACCAAACACAGGTTGTTGCGGGTGGAATTCAAAAACTTGCTCTAATTTGTGGTATTTGGTTTTTGAAAGTAATTAAAATAGCTAGGAATACTACTTGATTCAAAAACAACACAAACAGAAGTATCCATTTCAAGTACATTCAGGGCTTGGAACCGAAATTAAAAATACCGGTATTTTAACCCAAGTCTTTTGAAAATATTGGAACCGGAACCTTACCGGAACCGTTTTTTGATTTTTATAGGAACTGAAACGTGAACCGGAACCGATATTTTTTTGAAGATAATTTTTCGGTTTTTTTTCGGTTCCAGTTTTATTTCTATTTTATATATTTAGCTAATAAATAATAATAGTTAATTGTTATTTGCATGTCGCCGTCGGTTGGAAAAACTCGTCATTATGATTATAGTTTTGGACGACGACGTCTAGTAATGTTGTAGAAAGATAAATAATAAAATAATTATTATTACGATCAAAATACACACCCATATAATGTATAAATTATTATCATGAAATAATATTTATAATCATTCGTATAATGCTATAGAATTATTCAATGTTTGTTATCAGGGGCGTATTTAGGGGGGTGATATGGGTGTTAGAATTTTATGGTATTTCACCAAATTGTAAACTTATTTTGATTATTTGAATAAACGTTGTATACAACTTATAGATTTTTCACATGCTGTCTTAATGTAAAAATTTTCATTTATATAAATACATGGTAATTATTTATGTTATACGGGGAAGGGGGCCGAGGCTCTACTAACCATAAGTTTATTAAATTTTAAAACACCCCCGTTAAATGAATCCTGGATACGCCACTGGTTGTTATTCGGAAGTCCGTGAAAACTGGACATTTTGAAGTTTTGGAAACAAATGGAAACCACATATCTAATGCTTGCCAAACTACCAAAAATAATTTATTCTGTTCCTTCTACCCAAGTAAGTATGGAGAGATTGTTTTCCAGGCTCAAATTCATATTGTCACCTTATCGAACCAGTGCATCATTTAAAAATTTGGAAGATCAATTAGTGGTTAGAACTAACAGGCTGTTTGAAAATAAATATGTATACATTTTTTTTTTCATTTATTTAGTATATCTTAGTAATTTAATATCATATAATATTAACTATGTAAATAAATTTTTTTGTAGAAAAACAAGTATTTAAAATGCATTAGATGTTACATATAGATTATCCAAATCGAAACAAGAACAACAAAATGTTGTGTTGTCTAAAAAAAAAGAAAAAATTGAAAAAAAATGTATGTTATGTTTTATTTGTAATTATTATAAAATATATTATGATTTAAAACTTTATAGAACAATATTCTACAGTTTCTTTAATTGTTAGAGTTAAGACTTAAAAGTTTTTAAACTAGTGGTACGCAACCTTTTTTGATCCATGATCCCAAAATGTATTTATTTCGATGTGGCGATCCTAACCAGCATTCCATGGTATGTATAATATATAATATTTTAAAATTGGTATAACACTTTTTAATTAGGTGATTAACTTTTGGCGACTCCTATTAAAATGTTGAGACCTCCAAGTTGCGCACTATTATTTTAAACCTTCAACAATACTATTTTTTTATGTTTAGTCTAAATTAAAATAAATTATACTCCAATCTTCTATTATATTACATATTAATGTTTCTTATTAAGGGGCTTCGACACCAAGTAAGATAATGCTCCTAAATGTCTTATAATTTAGTACCCAGTAATAATTTTTTATAATTAGTATTACAAATAATAATATGTAATAGTAAGAAAATATAATTCGATTTTGTCATATGTTAGTAATAATACTCCATACAATATGAGTCAATCCTATTTTTTAAAATTTGTTTTGGATGTTTTTAAAACAAAATATTAAACTTATTAGGTAAGCCCTTTAACTTAATAAGACTGCTATAATTTGATTTTATAATTTTAGATAGTATATATGATGTTTATAATAGATTTTTTTATGATTTTTGAAAAAAATAACCCTTTAAATACCGTTATTAACCGGTATCAGAACCAGAACCTTAATTATATAATTTTTAAGAACTAAAACCAAAACCGGTACAAAATTTTTTTTTTTTGAAGAACCTAATTGAAACCGAAACCGAAAAAGTCATAAAGGTTCCAAGCCTTGAGTACATTATAATCTACATTTCTGCCAATTTTACAGTAATATATTTTTCATTGCTTATACTTGTACTAATATTACCCATATTCTGTAACCATAATCAAAGCAAAGTAAAGCAGTTATGTTATAAATCGATTAAATGTAATATATTTAGAAATATCATTATTAATAGATATAAAATGCAAAAATGTAAATACTTTTTTTTTTAAAAAAATATAAAATATGAATGTTTAATATGTGTAAAATGTATATATAAGTAATTAATCCAAATTAAATAAAATTTTGTTATCCATAAATATTTATAATATGAATAATTTTAAATGAAATTAATCGAAATTAAGTTTATTTGGCCGGAAACAAATCTTATTATTATAATTAGGTCTACATTATTAAAATAATAATTTGTAATTTACTATACATTTTTTGTTGAGATTAAATAATTCAGAAACTTGACTAATAATTACTATATATTTTACTTAATATATTAATAAATATATAAATAAATATACTAGAAAAGTGCTCAACATTATTGATACAATTTAAATCCATTTTAAAATTATAAAAACATTAGAAGGTGTGCATATTTATTTTATATAACACAAACAGTCAAAACTGATAAAGTGCTAAATGATAATTAATGAAAAGTTTTTTATGGAGCAATTAGCATAAGAAAAGCATATTGTAAAATAAAACTTAAAGGTCAAAAGTACCGATGTGAAAACAGCTTTGAACAGATTGTAGGTACCAACAAAATATGTTTTATAATTAAAATACGCACATATTTATTTTAAAATACGATTAAAATAAATTAAATAGTTTAATTTAGGTACACACATAAGTTACAGTGAATTTTGAATTTCTAAGCTCAATATCAGCTTCTTCATTTATATGAGGTTCACCATCATGTTATAATAATTATTTACCTATTATTTGAATTTAATATTAAACTAATATCAACAATTTATCTAAACTAGAAAAATGATTAGGTATTTTTCTTTCGACAAAGTAAGCCCCATAGAATATAACATTAAATTCTTATACTATCTATGGTAACTGGTAACCACGAAAAGAAATACAAATCTTGGAAAATAATTAATATTTCAGCACACATTAATTATATCCCACATTTATATGAACTTGCATGAATTATTCCCTCAGTGCCGCCCCCGCGATTCTATTTTTACTTTTTCCAAACTGTTTAGACGCTGGCGAGCGTATCTTATGTTTATTGCAATCTTTATTATAATATGTTCAATATTTTGTTATTACCAGCAAACAAATAAATTGGTATTTTAATATTTAATAATATTAAAAATATTAATAAACGCATATTGATTTGATATATTTTTTCGATCATCATTTTGCCGTAAAATACTATTTTAAAATAATTATTTAAAGAAGCGGTCCACCGGGAAAACTCCCGAATTCCCAGTGGTGCAATCTGCCCCTGTTCATATCTACTATTGTAGTTCGACCGAATATTGATTGAATTTCACGATTATAATGGGAACGTTATTCAATTGGACTAAATTTTACGACTTATGTACAATATTTCGTCCGATTACGATTTATTCAAACTGTATTTATTACGTTTATCAATTTGTTTACATCACATATTTTCCAATACAATAGTCATTAAAGCCATTTGACGGTAAAAAGTTGTTTAAAACTTTTAATGTTGTATAATTTTAATAGTTACATAAAAAGGTTATATTTCAAACACTTTTTTTTTTTGTACAAATAAAACTATTGTATTTTACTGCTAAATATCGAAAACGTTTTACTGATATTAAATAAACTTAATATAGGTTTTTGTTAATTAACGTTGGAATTTTGTAATTCTGTAAACTCTCGTACGTTTTTGGAATACTTGAGGTCAAATGTGTACCCAAATAGTAATAACTAACACACTCAGCGTGTAGGTAAGTAGTTATTACTTTGAAATTTTAGAGCAAAATACTATTACGTTAATACAATATACGTGAAAATAATCGTAAATGGACACATAATTTTTACTATTTCGTTTGCTATAATGTCAAAAACAGTAAATACAAATTATGTTTAATTTTCTCGGCTCGTCAATAATTATAATATTGATTATTTATTTTCTATCTTGTATATTTTTAAAACAGTCTACATCTACATAATAACAAATTAATGTTTTATTTTGAATCGTTTGAAAATTAAAGCGATGGAAATATTAAATTGTACTTGATGGCAAAAGAGTACGAGCATCAAAATTATATTTTCTTTTTTTTTTTTTTTTTTTTTTTTTTTTTAATAATAATAATAGTTTATTAACGCCCATATAGGGCAATTGAGTTACACATATTTTACAAAAATTATAAATATAAGTTATAATGATAATGATAATAATAATAAATAATAAATAATAATATCTAATAGTTATTTTTCTATATTCAAATTTACTATTTGAAACTTAGACATAAAAGCCGAAGTTTAGATTCTTTATCAAAATTAAAATCGAAATTAAATTCATTACAGTTTCGAAGCATACGACATATAGGTCCATTAAAACAATATAGTTGTGAGTGGAATGGCTCATTGAAAGTTAATTTAGATCTTGAGTAAAAAGTAGGGACCAACCAATCTATTTCCCCCAAAATTTCAGGACAATTAATTTGATTATTTAATATTTTGTAAATAAAAGAGATATCAAAAAAATTTTCTTCTGGAAGACAGGGTGTATAAACCTAAATTTGACGCAAGTTCATCAATTGTACAATGAATAGCAAATTTATTTGACAAATATCTTAAAAAGTAGGATTGTATTTTATTTAAACTATTTATATGACCAGATTGCGATGGGTTCCATAATATGGACCCATACTCAATATTTGATCGAACTAGCGAACAATACAAAGTTCTGAGACATTGAATATTATTGAAGTTCCAACATTGTCTCCTAATAAACCCTAACATGCGCATCGCTTTATTATGAATATATGATATATGTTCAGAAAATGTAAGATCAGATGATAATATGATACCTAAGTCTTTGATAGAAGAGACTATTTTGATTTTATGGTTGTCTAATGAATAATTATGTAAAATCGGTTTATTTTTCCTGGTAAATGAAATTTGCGCACATTTATTTACATTAATTTTTAAGTGGTTTTCTTTACACCAATTAGAGAAACGATGAAACTCTTCTTGTAGTCTAACACAATCATCTATTGAATTTATTGTTAGGTATAATTTTAAATCATCAGCGAATAGAGAAAATTTACAATATCGGAATATACTTTTAACGTCATTCATAAATAACAAAAATAATAGGGGGGACAGATGTCCCCCTTGTGGAACGCCTGAATTAACCTTATAAGAAGACGATATTGTATCTATTATTTTAACTTGCTGGAATCTATTAGTAAGGAAAGATCTTATCCATGATAATATAGGATCATTAACACCAAGAGTTTTTAGTTTTCCTAACAAGACCTCGTGATCAACTGAATCAAAAGCCTTACTAAGATCCGTATAGATTGCATCCACTTGCCCTCTATTCTTCATTGTTCCGAGCACATTATTAAGGTACACTACCAAATTTGTAACAGTTGATTTTTGTGGTCGAAAACCGTGTTGCTCATTTATTAAAATGTTAATAAATGAACATGATAACTTTGGCTCTATTAGCTTTTCAAAAAGTTTTGGCAATGAACTTAATTTTGAGATTGGGCGATAGTTACTTATTGAATTACGGTTTCCGGATTTAAATACAGGTATTACGAAACTGGTTTTCCATAGAGTTGGAAAAACACCTACAGAAAGTGATTTATTAAACAAAGCAAACACTGGGCGTGCTAAAGAATAACAACATTTAGATAAGACAATAGGGGGTAGTCCATCTGGCCCATATGTGCTATCTAGACCCATATTTGTAAGACCCTCAAAGACCTCAGCTAACGAAATATGTATAGATGAAATATTAACTGTTGATTGAGATATAAATTCGGAAGACTGAGAAACAGGAAATTGTGATTTTTTGTAAACCGAAGAAAAATAATCAGCGAATGCATTAGATATGGTTTTGTTGTTATCAAAAGTTTTTTCATTATAAGACATAGAGGATGGTAACACATTAGTTTGTCTTTTTTCCCTAATGAAACTCCAAAAGTTTTTAGGATTGGTAGACAAATTATTTTGAATATTATATAGATATCGATCATAGCATTGTTTAGAGAAATATTTACATTTCGCTCGAAGTTCTGAGAAAAATGCATATGTCGCTGGACAAGGGTTTTTTTTATAAATCATATGTGCTACACGTTTTTTTTTTATCAGTCTACGTAAATTACCGTCAAACCAATGAGGAAAATTTGGTTTATATACATTAATTATAGGTACATACTTGTCTAATATTAAATTTACCACATTATAAAATTTATCGACGGCTATATCAATATTTATATCGGAAAATAATTTTTCCCAATCGATATTATTCAAAGCTAATGAAATACCTTCGAAATTGACTTTACTAAAATTTTTTTTTTTTTGAACCATTGGCAGTTTAGGCAAATTTTTAATTCCAGTAAATTCACAAGTTATAATTAATGGAGGATGAGGTTTATCTACAGGGACAAGAGGGCTGGAGCATAAATCAACCGCTACTAAATCTAACGTAGAAAAAATTAAATCTAATGTATTCCCAAAGGAGTTACGTAAATTATTAAACTGAGATACATTACAAGTTGAAAATCCGTTAAAAATAACGTTGACTGACGAAGATCGAAGTCCGTTTACAATTAGACCGGTGTGGTCATGTGAAAAGAACGTATTAGGAAAGTTATAGTCCCCCCCAATAATTATATCTAGGTTATCACCAAATTTTGTAAATAACCAATTAACCGTATCTACGTGCATTTCGTATACAGATAAAGGACTGGTCTCTGGGATGTAACAAGCACCGATAATGAGTTTCTTATTATTAATACTGACAGATACGAATACCTGTTCGACTGATTCATATGGAATGTTGATTAATTCACAGGCATATTTATTATGTATAGATATTAAGACTCCTCCACCACGACCTCTCTTACTCGTAAGAACATTTCTATCGTATCTAAAAGTATTATAATTATAGAGACCAAGTTCAGAGTCTAACACATCGGCTTTTAACCAAGTTTCTGTTAAAATTAGAAAATCATAACTATTGTATGGGACATTACACGTTAAACATCGAAGTTTATTATTTAGACTTCTTACATTTTGGTAATAACCTATTAAATTATTAATGGATTTTTTGTGACAAGTATTTACATAATTATGATTAAAATTATTTACATTATTATAATGATGGATATTTACTATATTACGATGTTGTATAGCTGCGAACGCAGCTACTTTCCTGAGTTTTTTTTCGCCAGAGTGGGGGTACCATTGATGTATTTGATGAACCATCCGTCTTCGCCTAATTTACGCTTTTCCTCTAATTGGTGTTTGATATCGTTGAAATGTGTGCGTTGTAGTGTCGTTAAATCAGTACCGATAAATATATGTTTAAGTGAATCAATTGAACGTAATTTCCTCTTCGCTTTTAGAACAGACATAACTTCCGATGTACTTTTTAATTTAACCATTAAAGGACGTGGTTTCGAAGACATTTTTCCTAATCGAGCTGTATGTACAATTGATATATTTAAATCAAGTTCCTTAAGAATAGTATCAGCACGATTAACAGGATTGGTCTCACTATTAGTAAGCTCTTCTTCAACATTGAAAATAATAATATTATTCGACTTTTCCGTACGTTCATGTACTTCTAGGAGTATGGTTTGTAGATCTAGATCTTTACCATTTCTATTATTTGTAGATGTATCCAAAACGTTAACACGTGTACGCAAGGTGTCGATTTGTGTTTTAAGTTCCTCGTTTTCTTTTCTTAATTTAGCGATATCTGAAGTAAGTTCCTCTAGTTTGATCATGATAACATCAGTTTTATTTTCATTAATAATTAATTTAGAAGATATTGTGCTCAGTTTATTATCCTGAGATTTTAATATTTTCATAATATCAGTTAATGTGGGTTCATTTTTGCTAGGCAAATTAGGAATAGGAGATTTATTAATTTTAGACATAATGATAAAATTCACGAATTAGATCAAAATTGAAATAAATAAACCGAAGATATTACGTAGGTATAAAATAAGTTTTTTACTAGTCACTTGTATTTAAATAAAAATAACTAACGCCGTAACATGTTCACTGTTCAACTGTCAGCTGACAACTTCTCGTGTAGTACTTAAATATCATCTATGAATAATGTGTTTTTGAAAATACATGAAAGCAACAGAAATTTACAAACTTTAAAACTTCCATTACCATATACTTAGCCACTTACATTGTTACAACTGCATCAAAACTGTTTTCGAATTCTGTATGAAGTTGTTTCTTCGCTTTTAACTATTATAATATATCATCAACACTTTAAACTGTTAATATAGGTATAAGTGGTTATGAATGAAATAGTTCAAAATCTTGATAATTCAATACAGCTAAATAAAAGTTAAGGATTTAAAACCAATATTCTATATACATGTAATAATTATGATATTAAAATATTAATAATATCTTATTTGCATGAGTTCGTTCACTTTCATTTAAAATAACAATGCCTAATGAATCATAAAAAAGCAATAAGTATAGTTATACTTTTACCATGAAATAAATAATACACTGAATTCGAGTTTCGAACAGTTAATGTCTCTTAATACCCCCCCCCCCTCAAATGAAAAGCTGTACCCGTTAAATGAAATATTTTTTTGATCAATTTGAATATTTTCGTCTCATTCCAACTTTTATTTAGAAAATTAAATATTAAAAATATCTTAACAACTTAAAAATACTGTAATTTAATGTGAGTAAAAAATTATAAATTTTATAATTTGTATTAATATTAATGTATGTTAATTTTTTTAAGCTGAAAATTTGTTATAGTAAGAAAGTTCATAGAATATGTTTATTTAAAAAAAAAATAATAATCATTCTTTATCATGCCCCACAAAAGAAATTATTTAAACTGTAATTAATTACGTTTAACTTAATTATGTAAATATTTTATATTTTACATTATAATATATAAAGGTAGGTACGTAAGAAAATAATCGTATACTTCTGAGTTCGATAAAATGTATGTTTTGATAACATAAAATAGCTTAAAGTAAGTGGTATAAAGCACCATGGGTAAACTAAATTTCTCAAAAAGTTTTCAGTATTGAACCAACGAAGTAAAATAATATAACAGACGACATTTGTCGGGATAATCGGCAGTTAGTTCCTAGTAAAATGGTTTGGTTGGTTGAAAAAGATTTAACTTTTTCGAGAAACTAATAGCCCTTAGCTTTTAACAAATTGATTTCCACTGGGATCAAACTTATGTATACGGAAGTCAGTAGACCGGCATGCCATATTATATTATGTCGTATACCTAGTTATAATCTTAGCGTTTTCTCTTGTCGTTTTGAACAGTTTCGGCTCTGTTTAGCCGAAAACCGGTCATGGTCATTGTCCAGGGATTGTGGAATTATTCATTATTATAGAAAAATCACTATCTATTAGAGGTTGAATTGAAAACATCGGCCATCAAAAAAATGAGGTAAGTTGCTAGGTTAAACATTATTCTAATAATATTTTATATTAGATTGTTTTTTTTACCGACATACGAGTAGTATAATATGTGTGCACATTATAAGTTATTTTTTACGACAGTTATGGAAAAAAATGAACTACTAAAAATTAATTAATCTATTATATTTTAAAACAGTATTTTTATTTGTTCTTTTTATTTTAGTTCAAAATATAATATACATATGCTTATTACAATTTTCTATTTCCAGGTTTTGAATCTAGTCAACAATTATTATACAAACACATGTGAGTCATGTGAGACATAGTTATGTGAGAATGCTACTAACATGTAGACATGGAGTACGTAGTACTAGTCGTGAGTGAATTTCACTGAACATATTTCTCAACGGTATAATTTGTATATATATATATATATATATATATATATCTGTAGAACACTTTGTACAGTTTTTAGTGAATATAAAATATATTAGCTTAGGTGCTAGTACAGGCGCGGACCCAGAATAGATTTACGGGGGGGGGGGGGGGGGTCATCAAATAATATCAATTAATTATCAGGATTTATTATGTTATATTATTTTGATACTAGCATAATAATGATTGAAATTAAATTTACCTTTAAGTAGACCATAAAAAAAGTATACAAACATTTTTTTTTTAAATATTTAGGATTTTCAAGATTTTATTTTATTGCTTATCAAATGTTTAATTACATTATTTTTTCTAAATTTTACTGTAATTTATAATTTATGATAAATTCTTATCAAATGTACAACTTAAAGTTGGGTTAATTTCTCATTATTTATGGTTTTCAAATTGCAAATGGAATTTTTCTTTTGTATTTGGAGAAACGTTGAATAAATTTTTCAACATCAATGGCAATGTCCCTGTGAATATTTAATAATGCAAGTCCAGTCAAACGTGTTTCACACATTGTTGATCTTAGCCATATTTTAAGATGCCGTAGTGAAGAGAATGACCTTTCAGAGCTAGAATTACTAATGGGTAAAGTAATTAATAATTTTAATATTTTTTTTATTAAAGGAAAAACATCTTCATCACAATTCAATTGCATGGTTAGAAATAACTGATGAATTCTTTTGATATTCACGTATCTATTTCTCTTTTCAAATATAGTATTCACCAACTAATCAGGAGAATATCTCATTTTTATTATGCAATTTTTGAAAGTCTTTAGCAACTGATTTTATTTTGTCAGTTTCTTCTTTTTGGTCATTTGGTAATTTTAAAAATTAGATGAAAGAAAAAAAGATAACTGAAATAATTCCAATATATTTTGGGAAAAACGTGTTTTTAAGTTATCTATAACATTATCCAATAAAGGAATGAATATCGAGATTCTGTAATAGTCTTCTACGTTGTTAGTAGAATAGTTTGATCGATTTTTTTGTTGTTTACATAACCTAGGCATTCGTAATTCTAAATCGATAATATTTGCTAAATCTTCAGATGATTTAAAAATATTTGAAAATTCTGTATCAACATTTTCACGACATTTGGAAAAAATTTGTAATGTATTTTTTATAATATTTACTGCTGTATTCAAATCTAATTTTTATTTTTAAATTTGCTTAGACAATAAGTGAAATTGAGCAAATATGCAAAACTAAAAGTAGCAATAATAAATTCACTGTCACATAACGTTGTTACAAGTATTTTTGCTTTTCCAGAAATTCGGAAATCTTTCCATGTTGTAATTTCAGTTAATGTATTAATAATTTTTAGCATGTTTTGTAAAAACCTAGTAACTTCATTATGTCTCTTATCCCATCTCGTTTAGCATAGTCCTGTTAACTGATGGCCAATATATTTCTTCAAAATTACTGTACGTTTTGCTGACACAGAAAAAAACCCAACAACCTCTTTAACAATTCCAACTAAATTTCGTATACTTTGAATTTTGCTTGATTTTGAAATCGAAATATTAAGAGATTGGTTGTAACATGGACATCTACAGGCATTCGGTGAACTTTTTATAATTTCAACTACAGCTCCACACATTTCTGATGTCATAAGACTGCAACCATCAGTACCAATACCTACACACGTATTAAGATTAGGACCCATTTCTCTCAGTTGATTTAAAACAATTTATTCTAGCATTTTCCCAGTTATCGATATTTTTTCTATATTCTTTCAGCTTTCACAATTTTCAAAAGAACTGTCAATATTTACTTCTTCATCATCCCTTAATTTATTATTAGAACTCCTTAGTTGAACAAGTCGAGCTTTGTCAAATGCATCTACAAATGTCACAAAATCTTTTCTAATTGTTATTTTATTAATATATCTTATAACTAAACTAGTTTGCGATCATTTAGACACATCTCAGGTTTCATCAAAAATTATACTGTAAAAAATATCCTTGTCTATAATTTTTTTTTAAAATACTGTCTAAAATTTCTTTACCACATAACTCTATTAACTCGTTCTGTATTGTCTTACTAATATATGTTGCTTTTGAAGAAGAATGTAATTAATGTAATGTAATTAATGTATACAGTTTTATAATTTATTATAACTTAATTAGGTGAATGCATTTAGATTTTTAGATTTTTGGAATTCATATAATCAATTATTTATTGGTTTTTAAAATATTTTTCACTTTTAACCAAACAAATAACTAAACCACTATCATATTATTAAAAAATTAAACAAATTTTTATAATAGTAATAATGACAAAATAAAATAAAACAAACTTAATTACTTTCGGACAAATGGGCGGCAACTATACATATGTACATCGGCGGCAATAATAAAAAAAAAATCATATACGTTATGTCCATCAACCGAATAATAAAAAAGTAATGTTGTTCGCGACGACGAAACGGGGTCCGCTGCTCCGCACGTGCGGTCCGGGCCGTGGACACGAGCCATTCGGTCAGGGAGCGGTCCCAGCTCACCGTAAACCGGTCTCTTTGAGCGGGAGCCGCGAGCAAACGGCGCGAGACCGATTCGGCGCTTATTTTTTTGTTCCGGTCGACGGCGGTCCCTTTGGACGCAAAGTTCGGCCGCTGCGAGAATAAATACAGCCGGCCGACCGCGGCCCTAGGCACTCCGGTGCCGGACCGGACGCGCGATGGACGACTTCGGTTACTGCGACGATTACTGTTTACAGCATTTCCCCGAAGGATGCTGGCACGTCACTGTAGACACTTGGAAGCCGAACGCAGGACCAACCGGCGACGTGATCATCAGTGACGATTTCTACGATCATTCTCGACGAGCCGAAGAAGATCATAACGACCTATGCGCTACCTCCGCCGCAACAATCGCCCCTGCAGGTATGTAGAAATTAAGGGTTGTTAAAACGTTTGATCACTATATATATATATAAATATACGGCTCAATATGCATTGCTATGAGAAACAAAACATTCACGAAAAATTATTGAAATGTGCGTGAAAGAATGTGTAGGATATGTGCAAGAAAAATGTCATCGGTATTTGATCTTAAACATCAACAAAATAATATGTAATACGATTTAATAACGTAGATAGAAAAAAAACATAATTGCAAATATTATAGTTATTATTTTTTATTTAATTTGACAAGTTGAACATTTCTCATCAGGACTTTGCGTTATACTCGCCCTCTTCCTATGCTAGCTTTCAAGTAACCATTCCGAATTTTCGCGTTGATTTTAAAATAGAATATTTATAGTACTTCATTCATAATATTTTCATAATTCGTATTTACATCAAAAATTAACCATATTTTTGTCCCAAAAATTAAAATACTGACGTCCGTAACTATTATCCCTTCTTAGGGTTTTCAACATAAACTGTTGAATAATAGCTTAATTGACAATTTATCAATAATTAAACAAATTACGACACGTATTATACTTTTATGATTTATATGAGCACGTCACAACATCAATATTATATTTTTTATCAACACGTATAACAACTATAGAAATAATTTTAAACATTATATTTTAAAAATACAATTCATAAAACCAAAAAAATTATTAAATTTCCAGATTTAAATTCTAATGTTAAAGACACGAATTTTACTACTATAAAAGCATTTGAAAAATATTAACCGAAATTTACTGAATAACATTTCTGTAGATAGCAAAATATTAAAATGATTTTGGCCAGATATCTAAAGTTAGTATGATTATATCTTCATGTTTTCTCAAAAATGTCACTTAAAAAAATAACATAACACTAAATTTGAACGCAATAATTAAAAATATCAAATAATGAAAACTTAAAATGATATCATCGGAACACAATGATATTTTGATTCTTTTAACACCACGTTGGGTGGGTTTTTATTTAATATAAAATTAACTTTAGAGTAAAAGTAAAACAAAGATTTTTCCATGGTTTTTAGATTAATTATCAAATGTTGTATCGAAGTGAAAATCACTTTTTATTGATTTAAAATTTAAATAAGTTTTTTTTCTTTGTAGTATTTGTTATTATCATTTAGTGAATAAGAACACAGAAGAGAGTAAAATACAAAATATTTTATTTAATTCTGAACAAGTTAAATATGTTTTACGTAATATATAAATTTACTCTCATCCATAATGATAAACATTTTATAATGATTTTTTATCGATTGATATTTGTTATAACAATATTACTGCTCTTGTAAAAAGTCGCTACAATTATTGTTGTAATAATATTATTTCAGATAAAATGTATTACTACTTGGTTGTTTAAAATACTAGTAATTGCGAGGTAAAAATAAATGAATATAATTCTTACGTGTCTATATAGTAACAAATAATAATACACTTTACGTAGTCTAGACGTCTGCAATAGGTCCGTGTCAAGTAGCTCGTGTCTCTTCGATTTGTTCAAATAATCGGTAATTCCCGCGTTAAAGGTATATATATATACATTATAAAAATCAAATACTTACACTAAAGATTATTAAAAAGAAAACCCTTTCATTCCACTTGACTTCAAATACTTCGATAAACACCAAATATTCATATTTTTAAACCTTTACGTTTAACTTCTCAATGAAAAATGGTTCTATATTTAAAATTGAATCGTCTGGCATACGAGTAGAAGTGTATCTGATATTACTATTTCGTACACAAACGCTTAACCAATGTTGCGATATCGTTATACCTAATAATAATTAAATAACAGAAAAAAAATGAGGTATTCGAACATTGACAATTACTAATTTGGCATTGTTTGACCATAACATTTCACTATATTTATCGGAGATTATTAATTAATTAATTAATTGAAATCGCTTAAACTACTATTAAACTAGTATTATTATAATTTATGTCACACGGAATTATCGTGTAAACGAATAATCTTATTCGTGCAATCCATGAATAATCATAATATTATCACAATGTATGTATAGTGAATGATATGATACGAATTAATGACGAAACAGTTAATTAAAAACTATCTGAAAATATTTTGGATTAAACTTCTGAATCAGAAATAATTATCGGTAAAAATATCAAACTATTACCAAAACAAGAAATGCAATGATGTTTTTACTTTCTCTTCGAGCACTGTTTTAATAATTCTCAACCAATGTAGTTGCACTTAGTTTATAAGATCGGAATTCTAGCTTCGGAAATATATATTATGGTAATTGTTTTTAGAACACTCACATGACGAACATATTCTTTTTGAGTTCAATTCTACTTTTATTTAAAACTGTCCACCACTTGGACATCAAAAATTAAACTTAATATTAATTTATTCCATATCTTAAAGATTTACGGCTATATTGATGGTGATGTTTAAACAACTGTCAAAAATAATAATATTTATATGAACAGCCATTTTTTATCGTGTTATTTGTGTATTTTTTATTTTTTTCTATGTTCTATACTCAAACACGGATAATTCAATATTTAATTTAATAAAATAATGTCACACCATTTTTTCGACATGAATACATGATGTAAAATAATATGTTTCGCAGAGTATTACTTTCTGCACTAATATATTTAAAAAAAAAATCTTTTTTTCTATTGATCGCAAAGAAAAACAAACTTGCATAACAATATTTAATAACATATAAAAAATTTCGCTGGAACAGCTTCGACGACTTTTACTGATCTCATTTAAAAAATTGTTGTTGAAAATAAATCGTTGGTTGAATAGCCATACGAAATCCATTAAAAATCATTCAATTTTACTATTTAATTACAAGTAAAATTGTTTTTCACATTTTTAATAACATGTTTTAACACTTTTCTGACAACTAGAATACATTTCTATGAAAAATTACGTGTACTGCAATGATTAACGAAAAAATTAGTATTATTTTAATTGTAATATCTAATTAATACATATAATATATTAATTAATAAATGTCTGCTATATTTAAATTAATGACATATTTCATATTTTCATATTTTTAAAATATAATATGACATATTATAATATACATAATATTAAAAATATTATCATATTTTTAAAATAAAATTCACTACCAGTCGTATAAAAATAGCTGTACATTTATTTTGTGATTTCAAAAAATAGTTATTAAATATAGTTTAGAATCTTGATTAAAATTATTATTTGGAAACATTTTGTAATATATAGTCACTACTTTATAAACTGAATTGAGATATTTTTTTATTTTTTTTAAGTGTCAAAGTTAACCTCTGTCAAGAATTGCTAAAAATTAGATAAGGTATCATTTGAAATACATAAAAATAATGTCGCTATGTATGTTCATTATGATTTTATTAAATTTAAAAAAAAATTTACAAAATCTTATTTCTCCATGGTAATTTTGATGTATTTATAAATATAATTTATATATATATATATATAGTTATTTAGCTTCTATTTTTGAAGCAATAATTTTCACTCAAGGTCAATAAAAATAATAATGTATATAAACATATCAATCAAGTGTAATTGATTATTATTCAGATATATATATATATATGACTATATAATATGTATTATAATTTATTATACATACATTTATTAAACATATATACATATTGATGACGAATTAATAATATAATAGTATACCTTATCACTACGTAGATACTGTAAATAGGTGAGTGTATGAATGTGATTATTAATTCGTATGTTTCCATTATGAAACCTTTTAGACTCTGTTTATTTAAATAATAGTGGATTTATATTGAGTGCCTTGGAGAAAAATGTTTAAATAATACACTTTTTTACGGTTATCAGAAAAAATTATTCTTTTGAACAAGAACAAAGTATATTTAAATGGATATTAAAACTTTCAATTACGTATGGTTGAATTTTTGAAATATTCAATAATTGTATTTCTCTTTATTTAAATTTTTTAATCTATCATGAATTTTAAATATTTAAGCAAAATCATATTATGGAACCAAATCATTAAATAATTAATATTGTTTTGAAAGTACTACGAATTGTAATCAAATGTTCTATTCTAAGTCAATATTAAAGTTAAATAAAATAACTATAAATTAATCAGCAATTTATATTTGTCTATAAAATAAATTGAATTAAACGCTAACTTAAATTGTACAATTAAATTTGTAAAACCAATTTAATTTGAAATAATATTAAAAATTAATTCTAATTGATATAGGTTTTAGGGTTTTAGCAATATATTTCTATCAATATATTATTGTAATGTATTTGTAATACGAATCGTTGTGTTCAAATTTACTAAATAATAAAATTGAATAAAAAAAATGAATTATCTTATTGTTAATAAGAAATAAAATTTGGTTATACATTAGAATTGTTATAAATAATGTTTATTTGTATATTTCATAATATAAATTGCATGTACATATATAGAATATTTAATTGAAAATGTCGAATAAAAAGTAAATAATTTGATCAATTAATGTACTTGAGACACGTCTTTCACTTTTATCGAATTAAATTATTTTCTCGTGACTGTCACAAATTTAAAATATGTAACCAAATAATAAATATTCCAAAGTTTTCGTATACAGCACAACAATTAAAAAAAAACATAACAATATTCAAAAAATCTTTTCAAATATCAAAACAAATCAAGATAGATTTGAAACGTTTGCAGAAAACAAAAATGTAATTTATAATATGGTTTCAAAAATATACTGTATTGAATTTTTTTTTTTTTTATCTTATAACACAATGTTTAATTGATTTGGATATTTTGCTTCTATAATATTAAAATATCTGTTGCGAAAATGCAATATGAATTATATAGACTCAGGGATTCGGTCGAAAAAAAAATAATAAAAATGATATAGTATGGTATAATTCGTTTGTGCATTATTAATTATTCAACATTTTATATTTTCTTTTTTTTGTATTTTTTAATTTTTTTT